CTGTCCCGGCTCGCCAGCACCCGGCCGCCTTCTCTGCCGTAACGGCATTTGTGTCAGCAGGCTCTGCTCTTCGGAGACGTCCTTGTCCTGGGACCAGCCCAGCCTTGCTAGCAGCGCCTTCCCTTGGCTCTGCTCTAGCCATTGCGCCATGTAGATCGCTTCAAAAGAACCCAACTTCTTCTACCCTTCAGGCTGTTTAAGTTTTGCTTTTTATTTCACCTGGGCTCACGAGCACATCCAGGTTGACCCACTCACTCTGCAATTCCACACCGCGCTGCTGTCTTACAAAATTAGTGTCTGGTGGGGGTGTTGTGTGTCTTTTCCTCCTCCTCCTTTCCCTTCAGCAAATGCAGTTTAAATAGTGAAATATGCAGGTGAGAAGATATGTAGGTGAGAGGATAATATGCCGGTGCTTTCCTGTGTATTGGTCATTTAATCTGGAGTATCCAAATTTAGTATACAAATACCAAATAAGCACATCACAGCAAAACATTTTAATGTACTTTATAGGTTACAGAAATGCAGAACTGATTTGAAAGTTTTTGCATGGTCTGGTTGTTACCTCTCAGAGAAGCTGCCGTGCATCTACCTGTTCTTTAAGTGAGCTCAGCGCTGTCCGTATTGTCATTTGTTATGACACGATTCGGGAGCTTTATATGGCTTAGCTCGCTCTCCCTTGGAATGAACTGTCCTGGAGAAAAATAACCGCTGTGATGTTAGCGTCTAATCTTGGAACATGATTCGTTCTGCTTAGAATTTTAAATACTTATTTTCAAGAATGATGTACTCTGGCGTTAGTTAAGTTAGCACACGTGTTCTGGGACACTGAATCGGAGTGCTCCACAGCCGAAACCCCTCAACACGTACAGCTGGGATTTTAAGGAAAGCAGGCAGGCAGCACCAAGCTGCCAGGCAGCGTGCCTGCTCTCCTGAACTAACGTGGATACTCGTGAGATAAGGCCGGTGACTGTTACTAGCCGTAGGGTTGGTTTCATACGTATTTGGACCGTGTCGCCTGTACAGCTAGCGTGCAGGTGTTTGGGTGTCCAGTGCCTTCAGCCACTCCCGTAAGGAATCTGGATCTCGGGGTGGAAATTTCATGGGTTGAGGCTCTTCCTCACACCCCTCTCCTGCCAGAAATATCTTGAACGAAAGTGCGGCTCTTCCAGTGAACTAGAAGAGAAGTGAGAAGGATGGGGAAGTGAGAGAGCAAGGACTTGCCCAACCGTTTTATTTAAAACCCATGTGTTTCCGTTTGAATGCCATCATTTTCTGTGAGAAGTATTCAAGAAGCCAGAATGACCACAACCAAGCTGCTGTTCCCTGCGTGTGTCATATACACCATTTTTATCCAGAGAGAAGCAGCTTAGAAGTTGTTGGAGACGGTCAGACCTTGGATAGTCAGGAAACCTGACCTAGTGCTGCCGTTGGATTAGGCGTTCAGTGTCCTGGCTACCACCGTGCCCGTTTCGATGAATTCTCTGCAGTGCAGAGAAGGGGCCGGAGGTGGTCCTCGCTGAGGGAAGGGCAGGGGCTCCGCGCCGCTCCCCGCGTCCCTCCCGCCAAAGCTCTGCCCGCTTTTGGGTGCGCGGCGTGGGACCCCTGCCCTCGCTGCGGCGGTGGGGCGGGTGTCTCCCCACCAGGCTGGGCAACTCGAACCCCAGCGGGGCGACCAAAATAAACTCAGCCCGAAGTTAGAACAAGTCAGGCGAATTACAGTGGATCTGTGACACTGCAGCACTAACTCGGCGTTTTTGCAGACAGGATAGAGGCATACGGGTCCCTCTTTTTGTGTCTTAACATACTGAGTTAAAAATTATTATACTAATTGCAGGGCTATTAGTAAATAACTAAATAAAAGCTCTCCAGATCTGAAAGACCAGCCAAGATACCATGCTTTTGTGCCTCTCTTTACTCAGGCAGATGAATGATACATTACTGCATGCCTGTGGCAAAAAAATACCATTTTCAGTGCTTGCTTTTAAATAAACAAGAGATGGAAACATTCTTGGCTGCCATCACAGTGGTTGAAAAGCCATTGCTGGTCAGTGATTAAAAGGACTAGCAGCATTATGGTTTGTGTCTGAGTGCTGTAAACCATCGTTCCGAGATGTGTTAGGGAGCACTGAGCCGTTCATTGCCTTATCACAGCTACTGCGTGACAGCTCTGTGAAAATCTGCTCTGGACATGCCCAAGGTTGTCTCTATCTGCCTGTTTCAGTTTTCTGGTCATTCTTCTTTGGTTTTTAACTGTGTTAAAATTAGCTTATCTGTGGGTGCTTTTTCTTTCTCTCTGTATTTATAGAATAGACACTCACATGTGCATTTGTATATGTCATCTTTGTGTTATTCATGGAGCAGTTCTTGCTTACATGTGCAATGGGTTTGAGACCTCGGGTTTGTGGGTCACCAATACAAGACAAAGAGCAGAGAGTCAACTGACCTTAGTTGCATCCTTAGTCGCATTCTTTATCTTCAGAGGAGACGACTTCAGTTTACTTCTCGACTGCAAACAAATAAGCAAAGGACATTTTCCATTTTTGTCTATTTGGGAGGCCTGTGTTTGGGTAGAAGACGCTGGTTGGTGGCCCAGAGTATTCCGAGATGATGGAAGCGAGGACACCGTCCCGTGGGCGGTGGGGTGCACCAGCCCAGCCCAGCTCTCGCCGCAGCAGCGACCCGCCAGCTCCCTTGGGCGCACGCTGGAGAGCGAGGGGCAGAGGGACTGGGGGGCTCGTGTGAGCAGGGGTGGTGCAACCACCCAGCACGTGCCAGAAGCAGACTTGTGGGTTTTGATGGCTCAAATTGGTGCCGCCTCCTTCCCCAGTCACTCCCTGTGTTGCGCTGGCGGCAGTGGTCCGTGCTGCTGCGTGGGCAGTAGGCCGGGGAGGGATCCGGCTGCAGAACTACTGGAAGGCAGGTGGTTATTTTCCAGCTGAGGGATTTGCCCAGTCTGTTTGACGTGTGCTGCAGAAACGTTTCTGCAGGTGCCGAGCCACGAGCAGTAGGGCCATGGGGATGGACGAGAGCGGTGGAGGTGCCTGAACTGCTGCGTTCGGCTCTGCTGCAAATATACATCCAGTCTTTGTCACCGCGTGGAAAAAGACTATAAATAGGGTCATGCTGGAATGACCCTGGACAAACGGATGTTTTCTGCGAGCAGGTTCACAAATGGCATTGCTCTTGTCCTTCGGGGATGTCATTTTGTAGGTCTTGGGTGATGGGCAGCTGGTACTCAAAGCAGCACAGGGGTTAAAAAGCAGCTAGAGCCCTAGCGTGGATGGAAATCAAATAACAACCAAATTTGGTTTGTTGCAGGGATCAGAGCCAAGGTCCTTGAGGAAATACTGATGATCCAAGCTCATGGGCACCCACCTTTAAAAGGAAATTCCACCTACTAAAGTGGTTTTCTTTTTATACAAACTTGGTTTCTTTTGTCCCTTTCTGTTTCCTATAGCCTTTGGGAAACTGAAATGAGAAACGCATTTTTGTTTGCAGTTTGTGAAGAGCTGACTGTGAAAAGAACACGCGTCATTTTTTTAAGCAGAGGGTTGGGGGGGGGCACGGGCAATGCTTGTTGCGCTGGTGATGAAGTTAGTGTCCGCAGGGCACAGGGTGGCTGGAGGTGCTGGGGGCGCGGGGGGGGCCGGGCTGGGGCAGCGGGGAC